GAAATGCTTCTACAGTGGTACAAATTTGTTATAAAAAGAATATAATCCCGAGAAGGAAAATAAAATATGGAAAGATTAAAAAAAAGAAAAAAAAAACAGAAAAAAAAAACCCCATTAAAACGTGCACAAAGAATATGAACAGACACTTTTCAAAAGAAGATATACATGTGCTCAAGAAGCATATGAAAAAATGCTCAACATCACTAATCATCACAGAAATGCAAATCAAAACCACAATGAGATAACATCTCACAGCACTCGGAATGGCTATTATTAAAAACTCAAAAAGTAATAAATTGCTGACCAACTTGTAGAGAAAAGAAAATGCATATACATTGTTGGTGGGGTGGTAATATGGTTTGACTGTGTCCTCACCCAAATCTTATCTTGAATTCCCACGTGTTGTGGGAGGGACCTGGTGGGAGGTAATTGAATCATGGGGGCAGGTCTTTTCCATGCTGTACTCATGATAGTGAGTAAGTCTCACGAGATGGTTTTAAAAATGGGAGTTTCCCTGAACAAGCTCTCTTCTCTTGTCTGCTGCGATGTGAGATGCGCCTTTCGGCTTCTGCCATAATTATGAGGCCTCCCCAGTTTTTTGGACTGAAAGTCCAATAAACGTCTTTCTTTTGTAATTGTCCAGTCTCAGCTATGTCTTCATCAACAGTGTGAAAACAGACTAATACAGTAATTTGGTACCAGTAGAGTGGGGCGCTGCTGAAAAGATACTCAAAAATGTAGAAGCAACTTTGGAACTTGGTAACAGGCAGAGGTTGGAACAGTTTGGAGAGCTCAGAAAAAGACAGGAAAATGTGGGGAAGTTTGGAATTCTCTAGAGACTTGTTAAATGGCTTTGACCAAAATGCTGATAATGATATGAACAATGAAATCCAGGCTGAGGTGGTCTCAGATGGAGATGAGGAACTTGTTGGGAAGTGGAGCAAAAGTAACTCTTGTTACATTTTAGCCAAGAGACTGGCAGCATTTTGCCCCTGCCCTAGAGACTTGTGGAACTTTGAACTTGAGAGAGAGGATTTAGCGTATCTGGTGAAAGCTTAGGCAGCAAAGCGTTAAAGATATGACTTGGGTGCTGTTAAAAACATTGTTTTAAAAAGGAAACAGCATAAAAGTTGGGAAAATTTGCAGCCTGACAATGTAATAGAAAAGCAAATCCCATTTTCTGAGGAGAAATTCAAGGCAGCTGCAGAAATTTGCGTAAGTAATGAGGAGCTGAATGTTAATCCCCAAGACAATGGAGAAAATGTCTCCAGGGCATGTCAGAGGTCTTCGTGGCAGGCCCTCCCATCACAACCTGGAGGCTTAGAAGGAAAAGTGGTTGTGTGGGCTGGGCCCAGAGTCTCTTTGCTGTGTGCAGTCTAGCGACTTGGTGCCTTGTGTTCCATCCACTCTAGCTGTGACTAAAAGGGGCCAAGGTGCAGCTCAGGCTGTTGCTTCACAGGGTGGAAGCCCCAAGCCCTGTCAGCTTCTACATGGTGTTGAGCCTACAGGTGCAGAGAAGTCAAGAATTGAGGTTTGAGATTGTCTGCCTAGATTTCAGAGGATGTATGGAAATGCCTGGATGCCCAGGCAGAAGTTTGCTGCAGGAGAACCTCTGCTAGGGCAGTGTGAAAGGGAAATGTGGGGTCAGAGCCCCGACATGGAGTCCCTCCTGGGGCACTGCCTAGTGGAGCTGTGAGAAGCAGACAACTATCATCCAGACCCCAGAATGGTAGATCCACCAACAGCTTGCACAAGGTGCCTGGAAAAGTCACAGGCACTCAATGCCAGGCCATGACAGCACCCAGGAGGGGGGCTACATCCTGCAAAACCACAGGGGCAGAGCTGCCGAAGACCATGGGAACCCACCTCTTGCATCAGCATGACCTGGATGTGAGACATGGAGTCAAAGGAGATCATTTTGGAGCTTTAAAATGTGACTGCCCCGCTGGATTTTGGACTTTCAGGGGGACTGTAGCCCCTTCGTTTTGGTTAATTTCTCCATTTGAAATGTCCATATTTACCCAATACCTGTACCCCCGTTGTCTCTAGGAAGTAACCAAATTGCTTTTGATTTTATAGTCTCATAGGCAGAAGGGACTTGCCTTGTCTCCAATGAGACTTTGGACTGTGGACTTTTGAGTTAATGCAGAAATGAGTTAAGACTTTGAGAGACTGTAGGAAAGGCATGATTGGTTTTAAAATGTGAGGAAATAAGATTTGGGAGGGGCCAGAGGCAGAATGAAGTGGTTTGGCTGTATCCCCACCCAAATCTCATCTTGAATTCCCATGTGTTGTGGGAGGGACCTGGTGGGAGATAATTGAATTGTGGGGGCAGGTCTTTCTTGTGCTGTTCTTGTGATAGTGAATAAGTCTTATGAGAGCTGATGGTTTTAAAAATGGAAGTTTTCCTACACAAGCTCTCTTGTCTGCCACTATATGAGACATGCCTTTCACCTTCCATTATGATTGTGAGGCCTCCCTAGCCATGTGGAACTGTAAGTCCAATAAGCCTCTTTCTTTTGTAAATTGCCCAGTCTCGGGTATATCTTTATCAGCAGTGTGAAAACAGAATAACACAGACCGTAAATTAGTTCAGTCATAGGAGAAAGCAGTGTGGCAATTTCTCAAAGAACTTAAAACAGAATTACCATTCAACCCAGCAGTCCCATGATTGGGTGTATACCCAAAGGAATATGAGCCATTCGACTATAAAGACACATACATGCATGTATTCATCATAGCACTATTCACAATAGCAAAGACATGGAATCAACCTCCTAAATGCCCATCAATAGTAGACTGGATAAATAAAATGTGGTATATATACACTATGGAATACTACGCAACCATAAAAAAGAACAAGATTATGTCCTTTGCAGCAACATGAATGAAGTTTGAGGCCATTATCATAGGCAAACTAATTCAGGAACAGAAAACCAAATACTGCATGTTCTTGCTTATAAATGGGAGCAAACATTGACTACACATGAACACACGTATACTTGAGGGTGGAAGGTAGAGGAGGGAGAGGACCTAAAAACCACCTATTGGATAGTAAGATTATTACCTAGGTGATGAGATAATCTGTACAACGAACCCCTGTGACATGCGATTTACCTATATAACAAACCAGCACATGTACCCCTGAACCTAAAAGAAAAGTTTTATAAAAAGCTGTACACAAAATGCAGACCTTATTGGAAACCCTCAAGGCAGTGACATCGTGTTGGGTATTCCCATTTAGGGTGATGGGGTCTTGAGTAAATACCTCAGCATTACTTGTATTATCAGAATGTGGGTATTTCTGCACTACTCTAATAATTGCCAGTAGAAGAGGATTTGGTTTTCCCTGAAGGCTGGTATTATAAAGAATTTACCAACTCCAGACAACTTGAAAGATTAACTTGCTCATTTTTGGGGGTATTTCTATTTGGTACTTCCATTTAAGATATTCACCTAGGATGGAAAATGTTTTTAGTCCTCCAGTAAAGAATGGCTTTGCTAACACATGGTCAGCTTATTTAATATGTGGCATGTCATGTTTCTTCTAAGTCTAGCATTTAATGTCACCTCTTATTGGATGTAGACATGGAGAATTACTCCTTCTTCTATGTTTCTGTTATAGGAGTTATCATATACACATGTATTATATCTGTCTTTCCTTCTCACCTTCTCAAAAACAGATATTATGTCTTCTTCATCCATATATTCCCAACACTACACAGTACTAGGGATTTAGCAAATATTCTTTTTCTTCCTTTCCCTTTTCTCCTCAAATCATGAGCAATGTGAACTCATTTGGATAATTATTTTGAAATGTAGAAGTAGGCCGGGTGCAGTGGCTCTTGCCTGTAATCTCAGCACTTTGGGAGGCCGAGGTGGGCAGATCACAAGGTCAGGAGTTCGAGAGCAGCCTGGCCAACCTGGTGAAACCCCATCTCTACTAGAAATACAAAAATTAGCTGGGCATGGTGGTGGGCGTCTGTAACTCCAGCTACTTGGGAGGCTGAGGCAGGAGAATCATCTGAACCTGGGAGATGGAAGTTGCAGTGAGCTGAGATCATGTCATTGCACTCCAGCCTGGGCAACAGGGCGAGACTCCATTAAAAAGAAAAAAAAAAGAAATGTAGAAGTATAGAGATGTTGGCTAAACAGGCCAGTTGATAACAGCTTAGAAAACTCAGGTTTGACCATAGAAATGAATGGTGTCTCTAACACTGGCTTTTAATAAACTTTTTCTCTTCTCCAGATGCAGAAGCTTCAAAGGAGTGTGTTAAGTGTCTGGAAGGAAAGGTGTGCACCTTGGAGCTTTCTTTGGAGTATATCATTGAGCTCTTTGTGTTTGGGTGGTGGGTCTTTGGAAGGTAAGACTTCTGACCTCCGAGGGGGTGGATCTCCAGAGAGTAGCCTGACTTCCTGAAGGGCATCCTGGAGAGGCAAGGGTGAGGGAGGCAGAAACCAGAGTTCATCTTGATCCTCTAGGAACTTGACCTTGAAGCAGAGGGCTGAGTAGGGCTGAGTATTTGAATGGAAGAAGAGGTGCACCTTGAGTGTGGCACTGAGATACTAAGCATGGAACACTGTTATCTGCACTTAACACTGAAGAATGAAATCCACCTGCTTCAGCAAACCACATAGGGTGAACAAAATCTTGAATTACATAGAAGGTAACCATACATCCTGGTTTTCTGAAACAGTCCTGGCTAACGTCTCTTGTCCTGGCATAACTATTAACAGCATTCCTTTCTATTATCAAAAATGTCTCAATTTGTACAATAAATTACTTGACCACTTTGTGTAGGGTCAGTTTTCAATAGCGACATTATGTGTTCTCACAAAGCAATGGCAGTGGACCAAGGTGTCCCAGGTTGACTCCTGGCTGGTGTTAATGCTAGAATGACCCCTCCCTGCCCTTGGACTTAAGAGCTGTAAAGACTCCTGACAATTTAGGTGGGAGGAATAACTTCAAGGAGTTCAAATATATCCTGTTTTTTTTTTTTAATTTAATACATGGTATATTATTCAATTTTATGCAACTTTCTGAAAAGATATACTTCACTGCAGTGAATAGTACCTCTATGTGACCAGAATTTCTGTTTTCATCTAATACTAAGCTAATAGGGTAGAATTTTTTACCTTAAATTAAGAAGGTGACAGCCTCTGGCAACCATTCTATTCTCTATGCTTCCTCCTTAGCACGTAACTGACCCTATAAAAGTAACCTCAGTTTGGATTTTCCATTTAATCGAGAAGTTAATTAAAAGGATCTTTTATAAAATTTGCGTGTGGCTAGATATTACTGGTTGGTTACACATTTTTATAATTTCTATAGTCATTGCACAATGCCTAGAAAATATGACCTGCTTGATACCAGCTTTCTTAAAGTTAATGACATTTTTAGACCTAAAACCTTATCATTTAAAATAATTTTCTCTTGTACTGGAAAATAATGTAGAGTATATCCTATTAGTAAGGCTTGTGAGTATTTCAGCAATTAATTGGAAAAATAAGAGGTGTGATGTATATGCTACTTTGAGTTGGTGAAGCAATTTATATCAGTCATATTCTAGTTATTTTAGAATTGTTGCTTACTTTAGTCCTAGTGACCTGATTATTTACATGGTTCTTAAACTGAGCTCTTTGTAGTAGCTTTCGCCACCTTAACCTACAGTCTTTAGAAGTTACAATTTTTGCTTATACGAAGACACAGAGTTTAACAATGAAGTAGACCTCTGCTTTTGCATGTCCAGCATCCCTTTTCTCTTCCATAGGAACTGAGCCCGTTTTACTGGGAGAAATGCATTCCACATAGTTTAGGTGATTCCCTTACTTTGTTCTTCTTCTTTTACTACTCTTAATCCTTAATAAGGGGCTGAACATATGACATAAGCTTGACCAATCAGAGTATTCCATCCCTCTGGCCACATTGACTGTGGGACAGGGTAGGCAGTTGACCTCAGATAGGCCAGTTTATGATCTTTTCTGGACTTTACTGCTGAACCTATTGGAAAATGCTTTTATTCTGCAAAGATTGCTAATCTGGTAGTACGAGATTTAGGTTGTTGGCAGCCATCTTGTCACTAAAAGGAGAAGACCCATCTGAAGAGAGAAGAAAAAGAAACGATGTCTCAAAGACATTGTTTTGAGGTTTCTTGCTCTAGCCTTGTCTAAAGCCCCAAATCTATTCATGCACTTAAAAAAATTTTGTGGGTACATAGTAGGTGTGTATATTTATTGGGTATATGAAATGTTTTGATACAGGTATGCAATGAGTAATAATCACATCATGTAAAATGATGTACCCATCTCCTCAAGCATTTATCCATTGTGTTTACAAACCAATTATACTCTTTTAGTTATTTAAAAATGTACAATTAAATTGTTATTGATGATAGTCACCCTGTTTTGCTATAAAATACTAGGTCTTACTTTAAAAAAAAAATCCACTAAACATTCTCACCTCCCTGCCATCACTCTTCACAACCTCTGGTAACCGTTCTTCTACTCTCTATCTTCATGAGTTCAATTATTTTGATTTTTAGGTTTTACAAATAAATGAGAACATGTGATGTGTGTCTTTTTGTGCATGGCTTATTTCACTTAGCATGATGGCCTCCAGTTCCAATGCAAATGACAGAATCTCATTTTCTTTTTATGGCTGAATAGCACTCTATTGTGTAGATGTACTATATTTTCTTTATTCATTCATCTGTTGATGGGCACTTAGGCTGATTCCAAATTTTGGCTATTGTGAACAGTGCTGCAGTGAACATGAAAGTGTAGATGGCTCTTCAATATACTGATTTCCTTTGAGTATATACCCATCAGTGGGATTGCTGGATCATATGGTAGCTCTATTTTTAGTTTTCTGAGGAACCTCCAAACTGTTCTCCATGGTGTTTGTACTAACTTACATTCCCACTAACAATGTATGAGCATTCCCTTTTCTCTCTATCTTTTCCGGCATTTGTTATTCCGTTTTTGGATATAAGCCATTTTAACTGGGGTGAGATGATATCTCATTGTAGTTTTGATTTGCATTTCTCTGATGCTCAGTGATGTCAAGTACCTTTCACATGCCTGTTTGCCATCTGTATGTATTCTTTTAGAAATGTCTATTCAAATCTTTTGCCCATTTTAAATCAGATTATTAGATTTATTTCCTATAGAGTTGTTTGAGCTCCTTGTATATCCTGGTTATTAATCCCTTGTCAGAAGAGTAGTTTGCAAATATTTTCCCCCATTCTGTGATGTGTCTCTTAACTTTGTTGATTGTTTCATTTACTATGCAGAAGCTTTTTAACTTGATGAGAACTCATTTGTCCATATTTGTCTTGGTTGCCTGTGCTTGTAAGGTATTACTCAAGAAATTTTTGCTCACATCAATGTACTGGAGGGTTTCTCTGATGTTTTCTTGTGCTGGTTTCATAGGCTGAGGACTTAGATTTAAGACTTCAATCCATTTTGATTTGACTTTTGTATATAGTGAGAGACAGGGATTTAGTTTCATTTTCCTGCATATGGATATCCAGTTTTCTCAGTTTCATTTATTGAAGAGACTGTCTTTTCTCCCACATTTGTTCTTGGCACCTCTGTAGGTGCCAAGGTATGCAGATTTGTTTCTGGGCTCTCTATTATGTTCCATTGGTATATGTGTCTGTTTTTATGCCAGTACCATGCTGCTTTGGTCGCTATAGCTCTGTAGTATAATTTGAAGTCAAGTAATGTGATTCCTCCTGTTTTATTCTTTTTGCTTAGAATAGTTTTGGCTATTCTGGGTCTTTAGTGGCTCCCTATAAATTTTAGAATAGTTTTTTTTTTTTTTAATTTATGTGAAGAATGTCATTGGTATTTTGATAAAAATTGCACTAAATCTGTAGATTGCTTTGGGTAGTATGGATATTTTAACAATATTAATTCTTCCGATCCATGAACTTGGAATAACTTTCCATTTTTTTGTGTCCTCTTCAATTTCCTTCATCAGTGTTTTACATTTTTCATTATAAAGATCTTTCACTTCTTTGGTTAATTCCTAGATATTTAATTTTATTTGTGGCTATGATAAGTGGAATTATTTTTTATTTTTTTTTCAGACTGTTCACTGTTGGCATATAGAAATCCTACTGATTTTCAGAAAGTGGGGAGAGGTCATCATGGTGGATGGGAGGCAGGACTAGATTGCAGCTGCAACTCAGACAGAGAGAGAAGCATGCAGAGGCTCGCATTTTGAATTGTAGCTCCAGATCAACTTCAAGAACAAACCAGCGATTCTGAGAGGACTCACAGACCCTCTGAAGGAAGTGGACTGCTCCTGCAGGACCCAGAAGCCACCCCAAATACTCTGTTGGTATTAATGGCTGAGAGACCCATAGACAGTTCACATGACAGGACTCTGTGCAGACAACCCCCAGTACCAGCCTGGCACCTGGTAGACTTGCTGGGTGGCTAGACCCAGAAGAGAGGCAACAATCACTGCAGTTCAGCTCACAAAAATCCACATTCTTAGGAAAAGGGGGAGAGTACTACATCAAGGGAACACCCTATGGGACAAAATAATCTGAACAACAGCCTTCAGCCCTAGACTTTCCCTCTAACAGGGCCTACCCAAATGAGAAGGAACCAGAAAACCAACTCTGGTAATACGACAAAACAAGGCTCTTTAACACCCCCCCTAAATCACACTAGTTCACCAGCAGTGGATTCAAGTCAAGAAAAAAAATCCCTGATTTACCTGAAAAAGAATTCAGGAGGTTAGTTATTAAGTTAATTAGGGAGGCACCAGAGAAAGGCAAAGCCCAATGCAAGGGAATCCAAAAAATGAAACAAGAAGTGAAGGGATAAATATTCAAGGAAGAGGTAGCTATTCTTATATCAGACAAAAGAAATTTTAAAGCAACAGCAGTTAAAAAAGACAAAGAGGGACATTATATGATGGTAAAAGGCCTTGTCCAACAGGAAAATATCACAATCCTAAACATATATACATCTAACATTTGAGGTCCATAATTTATAAGACAATTACTAATAGACCTAAGAAATGAGATAGACAGCAACTTGATAATAGTGGGGAACTTCCATACCACCACTGACGGCCAGTAGATAGGTCATCAGATAGAAAGTCAATAAGAAACGATGGATTTAATTGTATCTTGGAAAATGGACTTAACAGATACATTAGAAACATTTTATCCACAACTGGCAGATACACATTCTATTCAACAGCACATGGAACTTTCTCCAATATATACCATATGATAGGCCATAAAATGAGCCTCAATAAATTTAAGAAATTTAAATTATAAGTAGGCACTCTCTCCGACCACAGTGGAATAAAACGGAAATCACATAAAAAGAAACCTTCAAAACGATGGAATACCATGGAAAATTATATAACCTGCTCCTGAATGACGCATGAGTGCAACAATGAAATGAAGATGGAAATTAAAAAATTCTTCTAACTGAAGGACAATAATGACACAACCTATCAAAACATCTGGGATACAGCAAAGGCAGTGCTAAGAGGAAAGTTTATAGCCCTTAACACCTACATCAAAAAGACTGAAAGAGCACAAGCTGACATTCTGAGGTCACACCTCAAGGAACTACAGAAACAAGAACATACCACACCAAACCCAGCAGAAGAAAGGAAATAACAAAGATTAGAACAAAACTAAATGTAATTGAAACAAACAACAACAAAAGAAATGCACAAGGTAAATGAAACAAAAAGCTGGTTCTTTGAAAAGAGTGATAAAATTGATAGATCATTAGCAAGATAAACAAAGGAAAGAAGAGAGAAAATCCAAATAACCTCGTTAAGAAATGAAACAGGAGATATTACAAGTGACACCACAGAAATACAAAAGATTATTAAAGGTTATTATGAACACCTTTACACACATAAATGATAAAACCTAGAAGAGATGGATAAATTCCTGGAAAGATACAACCCTCCTAGCTTAAATTGGGAAGAATTAGATACCCTGAACAGACCAATAACAAGCAGCGAGATAGAAATGGCAATTTAAAAATTACCACCAACAAAAATAGTCCAGGACCGAATGGATTCACAGAAGAATTCTACAAGACATTCAAAGAAGAATTGGTACCAATCATTTTGACACTATTCCACAAGATAGAGAAAGAGGGAACCCCCACGCCCCCCCCCAATTCATTCTGTGAAGCCAGTATCACCCTAATACCAAAACCAAGAAAGGACACAACCAAAAAAGAAAACTACAGATTGATATCCTTGATGAACATGGATGCTAAAATCCTTAACAAAATACTAGCTAACTGAATTCAACAACATATCAAAAAGATAATCCATCATGATCAAGTGGGTTTCATACCAGGGATGCAGGGATAGTTTAACATACACAAGTCAACAAATGTTATATACCACATAAACAGAATTAAAACCAAAATCATATGATCATCTCAATAGATAAAGAAAAAGCATTTGACAAAATCCAGCATCCCTTTGTGGTTACAACGCTCAGCAAAATTGGCATACAAGGGAGATACTTCAATGTAATAAAAGCCATCTATGACAAATCACCAGCCAACATAATACCAAATAGGGAAAAGACAAATCACCAGCCAACATAATACCGAATAGGGAAAAGTTGAAAGCATTCCCCCTGAGAACTGGAACAAGACAAGGATGCCCACTCTCACTACTCCTGTTCAACATAGTACTGTAAGTCTTAGCCAGAGCAATCAGACAAGAGAAAAAAAAGGGCATCCAAATCGGTAAAGAGGAAGTCAAACTGCCACTGTTTGCTGATGATATGATCGTTTACCTTGAAAACCCTGAAGACTCCTCCAGAAGGCTCCTAGAACTGATAGAAGAATTCAGCAAAGTTTCTGGATACCAGATTAATGTACACAAATCAGTAGCTCTTCTATACACCAACAGTGACCAAGGGGAGAATCAAATCAAGAATTCAACGCCTTTTACAGTAGCTGCAAACATAAAATAAAATACTTAGGAATTTACCTAAACAAGGAGACGAAAGACCTCTACAAGGAAAACTAAAAAACATTGCTGAAAGAAATCATAGTTGACACAAACAAATGGAAACACATCCCATGCT